GGGTCTAAATAATTGATGGTTTTCGATCTTTTCGGCTCAAATAATTGAAAAAATCAATCTTTCGGCATTTGAGCCCCTTACCTTGCTTACGCAAGGAGAAACTTCAGCTAGCTAAAGCTAGCTTTCGTGACAAACAAACAAACAAACAAACAAACAAACAAACAAGCAAGCAAGCAAGCAAGCAAACAAACAAACAAACAAACAAGCAAGCAAGCAAGCAAGCAAACAAACAAACAAACAAACAAACATGCACGAGCCGTTGAGTAAGCCGGGCACATCGACGGCATCGCGTCCTTGAAGAGCTGTAGAGACACCTCCGGCAACCAAATTCAGAGACCCATCCTGCGGTTCATGTCCTCACTTTCCTGGCCAAACCATCTAGGGAGCTCCCTGTTCTGCGACAGGCCCATGCCAGCCACGGGCAAGCATAGTGGGCTGCTGGGTTTGTTCTAGGGGATTTCTACCAACGTCCACTATGGTCATGTTGTTTGACAATATTCTGACCCTTGCGACCCAGTTCCCAACGCCAGAAATTCAAGGGGCCATGTTCTGTCCGAACCCAAATTAAATCCGAACTGACTTTGCGCAACAGGGCAAAGCGGGGCCCGGCACCTCGAAACCCCGGTTGCCGCCCTTGTGCTCATGGATGACCTCGCGTGCGGGAGAAAACGGGAAAACGGGGCTCCCTAAACTTCCCCTTTGAACATCACCGAGGAAACTCAAGTCAAACCCAAGCCCGCTGGGATGGCCCAAACCCAAACATTGCTCGTGCCCATTTCCGGTGTTCTTGGAATTCCATAAACCCGCTCAGGGAGCGGCGTTCAAGTCTGGTGTTTGGTTCTCAGTTTGTTTCTTGTTCAGGTTTCTGGCTTTGGAATGCATTTCACAGCATGTTCGCGTCAAACGCAGTCTACACCAGCACCGTCAACATCCCAGCATCGTTCTTTACTCCGCCAGCATCACCAGGCACACCCCCAGCATCACCAGCGGGTTGCTCTTTTAGGTTGATTTGCATCAGGGTGGGTTTCGGGTAGGATGGGATGGGTCTGGCATCACAAAGCGTGGAGAATGTATTGAGCTACTAACAAAGTTGAAGTCATCCAAAACCCGCGTCAAACTAGCATCAACTGATCGAAATGATGCAATGAGGATGCGGCAGCAGAAACGCACCAGAAGCCGCACAAACGAACAACAAGCCAAAAGCCAAAAGCCAGCCACTGACGGTGATGCTGGTGCCGCTGGTGATGCTGAGGATGCGGGAAGTCAAGCCACGAGCCGCAAAAACCCACCCAAAGCCACAGAAGGAAAAGCCAGCCGCTGGAGGTTCTGTTGGTGATGCTGAGGATGGACAAAGCCCAAACAAGCACGATCCTGAAAAGTGGTATCCACTTGCAACCGAGTTTGAGAAGCACCGCAAAGAACTTTTTGGAACCCTTGGAAACTCACTTCCGATCTGGGTCAGCTTTCAAGACAAAGTGGTTTGGTTTGCAGGTGGTTTCCCATTCCCCTGAACTTCGGGCCCAGTTTTCGACAGGAACACTTCGGAACCCCCGGCCTCCCAGCCATCCTCATCTGAGAGCTGACCCGCGTGCTTCGGTACGCGGACCTAAGACATCCATTCAGCGCCAAGCTGCAGCCCAGGTGTGGTAGGAAACAATCAAACAAATTGAAGGCTAAGGAGGAAAAATGGGTGAGGTTCTTGGTTGTCACTGGTAGTGGTTGGATGCAATTTCCCTTGGATATGTAAACTGGTATGCTGGGTCGTCCACATCAAATCAAACTAGGTCTTTTGTAGTGGACAATTAAACAAATACATAGTCTTCAAGTCCTCTTGGCAAGGCTGGCCGAGGGAAAACACGAGGCGCCCGCCAGCCAAGTGGTCCGTCGCCCTTTCGGATCAGCCACCCGGCCCCACCTCGGATCATTCGCAAGGCAACTATCCAAGTTGTGCTACCAAAATGCCTATTGGTTTAGATGACAACCCAGCACCTGAAGGAACCCCTAATTTCAGAAGTACACCCATGTAGGGTTTCACCCAGGGAGCAGAACTCCCCAACTTTCCAGGTTTTGGGGCACTTGGAATGACCAACATCTGAAGCTGCACTGAGAACACATGCCACAAGGTTGAAAAATCCCCTTTTCTTTCTGGTGATGCCAACCATTGCCAGAAGGGTCGACACCGAGGTGGCGGCCACCAGATCCCGACTCGGGCCTGCGGATGACTTTTGTCGCTCCAGCCAAAACTCCCGGCTCGCCTTCCCCCAGATGGTCACCACGCGCAACTCCAGGGGGAAGTTGAATCCAACCGAAGACCGATATCGCCTCGGCGACAAAGCGGGCGCGAAAAGAAAAAGAAAAAAGAAGGACGACTCGATGCCAAAGAGCTGGGCGCGACACGGCTGAACGATGAAACCTGGCACCAAAGACTTCAGCGCCTGCGCGAGCGACGTCAGATCAAGTTGTGAGAGCAAGGTCCCTCATATAGGCACGCAGCCTGGGTGTGACAAGTGCAATTCAAAAAGAGATGTGCCATGGTTCAAAACTCCTCATGTGGGCCAGGGTCTTCGGTCGCATGTCGAGTGCGAAGTAGCCTGATCTCTACAAAAGGTAAAGGTTTCATTGGGAGCTTCGATGAGCAAAGACCTATACCCCCAAAAGCAAAGATCTGCATAGATGCAGCTCTCCTGAAGACCCAGCAACACAGTCAGGAAGATGATAGCCGATGGCATGTTCGAGGTCCTGAAACATTTGAACACGTTGATGATTAGCAGGCTTCCCAGTAGGAGCGTAAACACACCAAATCGTGTGCCACCGATGAGAAATAAAAACGTCGACAGCGAGAAATCTACCCTTCTCAAACCAAGCTTTGAGGGAGTCAGGGACCTTGGCAACTTTGGAGGGAATGCTGCTATTAACGAGAATTGCGACTCCAGGACATTCAGCAGAAGCAAGAAACTGTTTGCCAGCTTTGTTGGTGGACCACTTCGGAAGAGGACTGTAGAAAATGTCAAATCCTTTGGAGTCAAAGATGCTGGCGTATAAGGCAGCTTTGCGGTCATCAATTCGGACCTCTTGCATACATATGACGTCCAACCCGGCATTGCAAAGGGACTCTATTTTGTTTTCAAGGTTATCAAGGTTCCAGGTAGCAATAGAGCATCTGTCATTGATAGGTTGAAGGTTATAAGAGTCATGTTCTTCAGCACCTCCACTTAGTCAGAAATCTGCACCATCATGATTGAGCATGTTCGAGTAACGCAGGTCCATGTTCATGTCAAACTCTGCAACAAGCTGTTGCCTCTGCTGAGCTGTAAGAGTGGCAGCTTGCTGCTGTAGCTGAGAGCCTCTTGCAACTGCTCATTGGTGAGATTACCAGCAGCCAAGGAGGAAGCAAGGGTGTCCGTAGGCAGCTGCTTCACGGGTGTTTTCCCGAATTCGTTTCCGAGCAACAGTGACCCAGTCATTGGCTTAGCGAACCTCTTAGGGGCAGCGCTATTTCCCACTTCCTTTCCTGTCAATGCTAACAGGGGGAGCAGGAAGAATTTTAATAGGCTGCTGCACCTTCTGAGTAGGTCTGATGCCTAAAACACGGTGTTCGTATCCAAAATGCATCTGTATGCTATACGCGGTGGGGGAGTGTTTGCTCTTCACAATAAACTGAGTCCCGTTCCACCTCATGCGTCTTGAGGAAGGTAGCACTTCAGCATCCCACTTAAGGGTCTTCGTGAGATCAGAAATGTTTTCTTCAATATAGTAGGAGGGAAGGTTGTGCAGAATAGATTTAGGAGTGCATAACTTGGATCGAATTTCATCGTGCTTCTCCGGCGGCACCCTCAGAGCCCAAACTCCTTTGTGTTGAAACAGCCCCAGGTGTGCAGGATGTTCTGAAGAGAAGGATTTGGCATCGTTTAAATTCCATCGGAACCCCACTTTTCCCAAGCCAAACCGGTCGAGTATCAATTTCAAGGTCCCTCCTAGGGTCGACCTGAATAGCATCTGCAGAGTGTCGCATGGCTTTGTGCACATGCTCCTTCTTGACTCGGATGTTGCATGTCTTGAGCAAGACAGTGTCCTCAATATTATTTGTGATCCGCCTCATCTTGACCTGCTTTTCTTGAGGAGCGTGTCTGGTGATGGGAGCAGGCTTGGGTAGCACAAAGGCAATTGGCTGCGAGTCTCCTTTAATTCTACCAGCAAGTGTCCTGGCCTGATCAACATCATGTGGGCCAGGGTAATGGTTCCTGTACATTAATTCCTTCGTGGTTGTCTAATTTCCCTCTGAAGAGTGGAAAACTATCGTAACCCTAAGCAAGCAGGCCTTTTGACCATGGCATATATGAGGATGTTTCATCACACCCTCCACCTTAAAGCTTTCAGCACAGGCGAGTTCTCTTCGTCGTGTTGCCCGTCTGTTGGGACAAGTTTGGCCATGCCTGCAACAAAAATCTGCACCTTGAGTCTCGAAATGGTTTTCGCCGGCCTCACTTTCAGAGTCCGCCGCTTTCTTCTCCAGGTAGGTTTGCATATGTTCCGCAAGCTTCGCAGCGGTCCAGCCCTCCTGGCTCGAGACCCATCCGGGGGTTTTGTGTTGTGTTGTTGTGTTTTTCCTGCGAAAGGGTTTGGTGGGTAACCCCGTTAAAATCTCAACATAGCCTTTTCAAGGGCAAGCCGTAAGTTTCGGAGCCGGGCGCCTTGTCCCACTTGCCTTTGGACATGATGAGCGCCCCTACGGCGCTGCTCAAGTGAGTCCTCGGCTCCCAGTTGAGGTCCCCAGTGCCATTCATCATGAAAAGGTACACCTAAGAGAGATTGCCCCTTTCCGTATTTTGGAGGCATATAGACTTCCAGGCCGTCAAGAGCTGGAAGAGCCCGGCGGCTTGATGACCACGTCGAAGCCCTCCTCCCCGTTTTTTCGGAAGTCCGACACCAGCTTCTCGACCTGGCTGGGGACAAATCTGGGTGCCACAGAATGACTGGTCTTACAAGGGGCCCCCTTCACATTTGGGAATATGCAAACAAAAATGAACGAGACCTCGGAAAATAGTTGGCTCCCCTTTGCTATCCCCCTAAAAGGTTCGCATTTTGTTGGACAAAAAATTGGACCAAACTGCTCACTATGATCTGCACGGGAATAAGGCTCCGCTGGCCTCCTCCCGCTGGACACTGGTGTACGTCGAGAACAGCCTGCGGATCCGTACTTGTCTTCCAAATTGCAGCAGCAGCAACCAAAAATGGGTGACCGCCCGTTGTTTGGGTTCTCACATATGGGGCTTCTTTCGGATGCTGCACACATGATTGCGCTTTGGTGTAAGCAATCGGATCCAATTTGTTTTATAGAACACCGTTTATGTGGGGTCGCTTTCTCCAAAAGCTGGGCCGCCCACACTGGCATCTGCGGCACCCCCAGATTTTCCAGGAGCTTGCTGAGGACGATCTTATCACCCAGCGCCTAGGTACAAATTCTCCTCCAACCACGTCTCGCTTCAGCATCCCATGCCTGGATGGTGCCCTTTCCTCCGCTATTCGCCTCGCCGAGGTGGAAAAGCAAGGGGTCCTCATATGTCCCGCTCAAAGGGGACAGCGAACTGCAGTGTTCCAAATCCTTCCGAGGGAAATACAAGGAAATCTTGGAGAAAGCGCAGCAACGGAAAAAGAAGATCGCAAACGTGCCTTCATGATGTCTACCACCTCCTGGATAGGTCGTTTTCTCTCAGCCTGACCAGTGGCTTTTGTGGTCTGGTTCTGTGCTGACACGCAAAAGGAATCCCTGGCTAGAAATCCAGAAACATGTGTTTCCCAGGGCCAAAAAATGTTTCTTCCTGCAAACTCGCAAGAGGATGCCATGAAGAGACGCTGAGAAATGTTGAGCAGACATGTCATCAAGAGATCGCCGGAGACATTGTCGACGGCCGCATTGCCCAGACCCACGCAGAGGGTCGATTTCCCAATCGACAAGTTGGTGCAGGCCCGCCGCCTTAAAAGAAGCTTATATTTGTCCAGTTTTACCTTCTTTCTTTCACGTGCGAATTCACTTGACAATACTACTCTAGGCAGACATCACAGAAAGCCTCTAGGGTATCATCCTTGTGTAGCTTGCTTGTGTAACTTGCTCAAGAAATCTCCATGTAACCTGCTTGTACAACTCGCTCGAGCAATCTCTCATGTAACTCGCTAGTGTAACTCGCTCAAGCAATCTTCCATACAACTCGCTAGTGTAGCTTGCTCAAGCAATCTCTCGTGCAACTCGCTAGTGCGACTTCCTCTGCAAGCCTCTGGTGTGTCTTTCTCATGTAGCTTGCTCTAGCAACCTCCGATGTAACTCGCTGGTGTACCTTGCTCGGAGTAACCGTACTTTCGCAATTGGCACCAGTTGTTTCCGGAAGAACCCTTCGCAATGCTTTCGGGAAAAACACAAGGGAAGGCAGCAAAAAAGCTCAACAATACCCAAATCCGTGAAAGAGGTGAAAAGGAAATCAGCAGAGCAAAATCCAACCAAAAACCATGAGGGTCGGAAAAGCAAACCAAACAAAACGGAACTAAGAGGAAAAACTCAGGTAGGGAGTCCATGGAGCAAGACATAAACAAAAAACAATCGAGTTCAGAACAAACAAACTGAACCAAACAAACTGGGGATGCCTACAAGTACTATGCGGTTGCTACCCGAATTGTTTTCTTATGGTCTTAAACTAAACCAGAACCCCGTTTCTAGTTATATACGTACTTATAGTACTCGGGTGTCGGGTGTTGTCAAAAAAACAAAAAAGGTCTACACAACGATTGGTTTCATTTTGTCTTCCCTTCAAACACCATCCGAAAGGGAGGCCCTAACTTTTGAACACATCTGTTTGCTCTTTCATGAGTCCGCCTGGTATGGTTTCTTTTTCCCAGTTGGCCAGTGACCCTGGAAGAAAAGGGAACTTCTGTCGGGTTGACTATGCAGCGGGGAATCCGCGAAACAAACAGCGCCAGCCAACAATTGGGCCGTTAAGACCTGAAGTTCGCACAGGGAAAAGGGTACCTTTGGTCGCAGATCTGCACCGCTAAGCTCCAGTCACGGTCTAGGCTTTCTTCCAAGCAATTCAGTTTGGTCTGTAAGGATCGCTCTGCCCCCCGCGGCAGCTCTGTTAGGACGCGCTGACCGCCAGAGAGCAAAGCACCTACATTGCATTACGCCTCATGGCCATCTCGGCCAGCCAGGTGCTCTGTCGTTGCACCTGACAGCTCCTTTGCCAAGCGCTGCTAAACCATTGATTTCAGACAAACAACACTCCTAACATGCCTCGCACAGCAGAGATGAGAAGCGGTGCTAAGTTGCAGAGTCGGGGGAGGACATGTTGATTTCGCAGCCCCACAGCATTCAGGAGCCACCGGCACCAGTGGTCACGGTCATACCGGCCGGATGGGTCTGGGCAACTGCGTGCTTTTGTAAGACCGCTGCGGGTCCTGTTTTACATCAATGTTGATCATGCCCGGATCGGCCATGGAAGCGTAAGCCATCAGGGCAAACGTGACCAGGTAAACTCCTGCAACAAGCAATCTTGATGTCGACATGGCCACATATGCTTCCAGTAACTGGCACTGAAGCAGCCAGAAGCAGGCCATGCCTGCTAAAAGCGATGCGATCAGAGTCAACGGCAGGAGAAGACAGAAGCCCGGAACTGCCAACGTCAGATCCAGCTACTACCTTGCCGACCCTTCCCTCCAGCCATTGAAGCGACATGCCAAGGCCACTGCGCGAGAACCAGCTAGCTCGCCCCACGCCACTTACCTTGCTTCTTTCCACGGTCATTCTGCTCACTCTGCGCGAAAGAGGCGATGCGGGTGACATCGGCGACACCGACATGACGCCCAGATACGTCAAGTTTTCTTCTACTGCCCCTGAGAAATCTTTGAGCTGGCAAACACAAACACAAAATGCGTGTAGCGCTGGTCTTGCAAGAACAATTTTGAGTTGTTGTAAAGTTTTAAACCTCAAGATCCGGGTTTTTTATGCTTCCTCATGACGGCCAGAGTAGGAGGTTCTGATTCCGAAGATGCATCTCGGAAAACACAATCATGTTTCTCACTCAAACAATGAAGTCTTCCGCTGTTGAAAGGCAACATGAGTTACTTCAATGTTTGAATGTTTGATGCCGCCAAAAGGAATACATATATATATATATATATTATATATATATATTATGTTTATATATATATGTATATATATGTATATATATAGATATATGCTTTCCCCCCCAAAGATCGACCATTTTCTTTGTTTTGAGAAAGATGCGGTGCATTATTGCAAGAAACAGATGTGCATATGCTGGTGGTCGACATTCAAGCGCAGTGTTGTTGAGGACGGTTGCAAAATTGCGCACCTGCCAGGGCTGCAACACTGCAAGGCTTTGAAAAACTGCGGCCCCTGGCAACCTGAAGTTTCAAAAATTCAAGAGTTTCCAAGACACTGCCCAAGCAAAGCTGCCAAACTACAGACCTGGCAAAGCAAGTCTGCTAAACTGCAGGCACTGCAGGCCTTGGTTGCAAAACAGACTTGGCAGGGCTTCAGCTCCAACACTGCAAGGCTTTGCAAAACTGCAACCCCTACCAACCTGCCAAAGCACTGCCCAAGCAAAGGTGCCAAACTACAGACCTGGCAAGGTTGCAAAATTGCCAACCTGCAAGGTTCCAACACTGCAAGACTTTCCAAGCAAGTCTGCTAAACTGCAGGGCCCTGGCAAGGTTGCAAAATTGCCAACCTGCAAGGGCTCCAACACTGCAGGGTTGCAAAACTACAGCCCTTGCCAACCTTGCCAACCTGCCAAAGTTTCAACACTGCAGGCTTCCCGCTTGCTGCAAGGTCTGCCAAAGGCTGCAAAATCCATACTGCAAGGCTCCAACACTGCAGGCACACCCAACTGCAAGGCTTTTCAAGCCTGCCAAGCAGTTTGTTAAATTGTAGAGCAAGGTTGCAAACTACAACCTCTTGCTAACTCAACACTGCAAGACTTCCCAAGCAAGGCTGCCAAACTACAGACCTGGAGGTTGCAAAAGTGCCAATCCAATCTGCAACCAACTGCACCAACACTGAACTACAGACAAGCGAGTTCAAACAGAAGTTCCAACACAGGCCTGTTTGCAAAGCAAACTTGGGAGCTCTGTCTGCCAAAGCTCCCACACTGCAAGGAAGGCTTGAAACTTGGTTGCTGCCCCTCCACAATTTCCAGCCAACCTGCCAAGTTTCAATACCCTGGCAAGGGTTCTTGCCACCTGCTACAAGACTTCCACCACCAAACTGGCACTTCCAGCACACTGCCCAAGCAAGCTGCCAAACTGGGTTCCAGCTCAAAACTGCAACCCACTTGGCAAGAGTTGAACACTAAGGCCACTGCAAGACTTGAGCGCCTCACCTGCCAAAGTTTCAACACTGCAGGCTTCCCTGCTGCCCTGGCAAGGCTGCCAAACTACAGGCAAGCAAGGCATTTCCAACAAGAGTTCCAACACTGCAGGCCTTGGTTGCAATACAGACTTGGCAGGGCTGCAAAACTGCAGCTCTGTACGCCAAAGCTCCAACACTGCAAGGAGGATGCTCAGGGGCGAAGGGCAAGAAACCCATGAAGCTGCAAAAACCTCGAAGAAATCAAAACAAATCAAAAATCAAAAAAATCAAAAAAAATCAGGTCCTGGGAGAGAATGCCCAGGTCAGAATCTGGAAAAGTGAAAAACCTCCAGAAAATCAAAAAGTTCAAAAAATCAAGGCCTTGAGAGAGATAGTCACTGGGTCTGACATTCTGTTCCAGGACCTTGATTTTTTCATTTTTTGATTTTTTTGATTTCTTCGAGGCTTATTCACTTTCCGAGATTCTGACCTGGAAAAGTGAAAAACCTCGAGAAAGTCAAAAAAAAATAAAAAAAAAATCAAGGCCTTGAGAGAGATAGTCACTGGGTCTGGGCATTCTGTTCCAGGACCTTGATTTTTTTGATTTTTTGTTTTTTTGATTTCTTCGAGGTTTATTCACTTTCCGAGATTCTGACCTGGGCATTCTCTCCCAGGACCCTGATTGTTTTGAATATTTTGACTTTTTTGATTTCTTCGGGTTTTTTCAACATGTTCATCCTGTGCATTGGGAAGCCAGAAGCCCGAGACCTTGCAGATTCTGGGATGTGTCACCAGAGATATAACACAGAAAACGGTCGATCTTTGGGGGGGGGTACCATATATATATATATATATATATCATGACATGGGTTTCACTTTGACACACATATTCAACCCGTATTTCCCCTCAAATGATGCGAAATTTGAGTACATCAGCCACCTCTGTTTCTTTTTTAAGTCCCCAAGCAAACGCGGCGGAGCTGCCAACTTGGCGCCCACGTCGAAGTCCGTGTTCATCTCGAAGTCCCGGGCCTCGGGAGCGGCGAGCTTCCTTCCCGTGACAACCAGAGTTGGAATAGCTGCAAGGGGCAACCCGTGACAACCAACCCAAACCATGCAGAGATCCGAGGGAAAGTGGGAGTTGGTAGATACCCCTGAGTGGTTACACAGCGATAAAACCATCCAACAGGATCTGCTGGTCGGTTTTCCCCTGTCCCTTCACCCCGACAAAAGACAAGCCCATGATTGAAATACCCCTACAAGGACTCTTGCAGGGCATACGGGTGTCTTTATTGCACCTTCCCGCTTTGGGTTGCTTTTTGGAAACCAAAGACCAGGTGAGTTGGCGAAACCATGTTTGCCACGGTCAAATTTGCTGTACCCCTGTGGAGATGGGTAAATTGGAGGGTCCCTTAGCTTCTGTGAGAAACTCAGACACACACCCATGTCCCTACCAAATGGACCATAGACAACAGGAAGTGTTCCTCACATTGATATGGGTGTGTCTCTTTCTTGAAGGATATCATGTTAGGGGATGCTTCAAAGGGAAGCCAAATTGCAAGCCCAAGTCCATTTTGAGTCCCATATTTAAAGACGCCCCATGCGTGACAATCAAAACTTGGTAACGAATTGTCTACCTCGATCCATGTAAAGAAATAAAAGGGCGGCCGCACCCCTGTATGGTTGGGACTGTCCCCTAATATATGACTCGTATTTAAGAAATATGTAAGTTTTTTGAGGGTACGCTTTTCACCTTGGTTTAACGGGAAGCCAAAAGGAAAAACACATTCTTTAGGGACCCCCCCCCCCCCCCATATTTTGACACATGCCCATATCTTCTTCTCATATTCCATTTCTGTAGACCCCGGCAGCGGACAGCCACGCGTCCATATCCCGCGTCAAGGAAGCTGGCTGCATGGCCCTGAGTCGCTCTCTCTGTCGCAGATGGCTGGGCCACATGGTTTGAACATGATTAAACAACAGTTCACATAGCGGCCAGTTCAACAACAATCCTTCAAACAGCGACTGTTTAATTACAATTCAAGCAACCCTGATTCTCAACCAAAACGCAGTTCTCGAAGGCTTGACCAAAAGCGTTGGCCCTTCCAACTGAGAAGACTACGGTGAAAACTTGGCTACAAATCCTGTTGGCCTTGTAGGGTCAAGACCGCCAAATTTTGCCCAAACTTGACACAGGGCAGCTTCCACCATCCTTTAGCCCCTGTGTCCCTGTGTCTTTGGGGCATCGTCCAAGGTAGAGAGTCGGTAAAAGGCCTCATATTCTCGCAGTGATAAATCAAGCTCGGCGCGACCTTCTTGGCTATAGACACACACCCCTCTTCCTTCTCACACCATCGACGCACACATACCAAACGTCCCGTCGCCCTCGACTGTGGCCCCCGAATGGCAACCCCACATCCAAAGAAAGATCAAAAGGAAACCAAAGCCCAGTTCGGGGATTCCCAATTTTCTAAGACGGACACATGTCTCACAGTTGTTTGAGCGCGAACTCCTGCTCCGCCGTAAATGGAGATGACTGGTCGTTTCGCTTCTCAGGAGTTCCCCAAGGCCTGACAAAAGTATTTAACCAGCCTTGGCCAATCTGATGACTTCCACGAGAAGAGAAAGAGAAAGAGAAAATGAAAGAGGTGAAAGAGAAAGAGAAAGAGAGGAAAGAAATGTGAGCCAAGATCAAAGGAACGGAGGCGTCTCTTCTGTCCCGAGTCAGATTCCCGTGAGCCTCGACTGGAAGATCAGTTTGCCCTTGAGGGGACCCCCTGTCAGTTGCCATGTTAGAGAGAGGGAGGGGAACCGGAACGGGTACCAGACCAAATTGCTCCACAAGGCCAAAATGGATACCAAAAAGGATCCAAAATTTGACACTTGCAAAACGTCCTACGAAATCCAGAGGTTTGCAAGAAGCCTTTTTTTTCATGTCCACCAAAAACTAATAGGACTCCGCAGAGCCTCTTTGCAATGGTTTGGACAGAGTCCTTGTGAAGACAATGCTATCCTTGCAAGACCCCCTTTGAGGGGGGGGCAGACTACAGAATACAACAGAACGTCTGCCTGAAGCGCAAAGGCCAACTTGACTCCAAGACACGGCTTCGGAGGCACGGGGAGCGGCATCTGCGAGGCTTGCCTAGCACAAAATGACACACAGAATCCCCGAAATGAGATATGGGTTGGTGTCAAGTTACCTGGACAAAACGGTGCCCTCAAACTAACACACTCCCATACGTGTGTCTCATTCGCGGTCCCCCAACAAAGTAAATGTGGTTGACCTTAAACTCACCCAAGAAGGACTCCCTCCAAAGAAAAAACACCAGTACCGAGTCCAAAAAATAGGGGATATTCCTTGGTGTTTTTCAGCCCAACCCAACATACCTTTTTTTGCTTTTCTAGGTATTTCGGGAGAGAATAAACAGGCCCAATCCCACCAACAAGAAGAGAGGGTTTAAGTCCCCCAGTCCCAAGGGCAAAGCGGTGCCCCCGGCTGGCACAAACAACGAACCAAAACAGGGTGCCTTTAACCAAAAGATGAATGAACCCAGCAAGGGCAGAGACAACCGAAAGCAAGCACAAAGCAGCAAACCAAGCAGGCAAACAATGCAAAGCGCAGCGAACGAGCAAAGCAAACCAATGCGGACACCACCAAACACACACACCGACCCGCAACCAGAAGACGCGCCTACCGCCGCGGACCTCGGCCTGTCCTTTTCCAGGGGCAGGACGAGTAGCAGCACCGCAAGCAACCACTGCCGTTATGGCGGCGCGGTTCGCCGTGGTAAAAGCTTGAGCCAAACAGCGCGTTGGCTGCGGCGTTGAAACACATGTTGCGATAAACGTACATGCCCCAAAAACACCCCCCTCGACTGTACAAAGAGATGGAGTGAATTTGGAAAGGCGCATTGGCCATGTTGAAGTTGAGTAGCAACAAACAAGAAACACGGGAGATTAGGCTACCAGGGTTCGCGACCCCATACCCGGGCACGCATTGGAGCCCGGATCCCGCCACCACCCCGAATTACGGGTATGGGGCGGATTCGCGCCGGTAGCCAAATCAAACAGGAAAGAGCAAAAGAAGAAAGGAGAACAAAGACTCAACTCCAATATGGCAGGCATGAAATAAAACGGCATTTGCAATGCAACCACAGTGAATCATGAGACTCACGTGGGTGTGGGTTTTTTTTTTGAATTCATGATTTAGGCGCTTTGGCCTGCTGGTTGAAACATGGTGCATCGACCATAAGGCACTGGCCTTCAAAGCACCGTCTAGGCGCGCGGTCACTCGAGGATAACCGACGGGACCCCACCGGCAGCGGTGCAGCACAATCGTGATCACCCCTGCACCTCGATGAGATCCCTCACCAGCTGCATCAGCGGTGCGGGAGGATCATGATCGCCAGCGGCCATAGACGCCGGCGAGGGTGACTGCCTTGCCGTGACAATACGTACCTGGCAGGACAATGTGACTGGCGCGATTAGCGCACAGTCATACATGCAATTGAATTATAAGATGTCGACTAGCCCAAATAGTGAAATGACAATAGGAGCGTTGTCCTGCTTGTGTCATTTACAAAAACCATTCTTGATAGCACGCGCGCATTGGCGCAATCAAATCTGTTACAATGCTTGCAGAATGTCATCAGGTTTTACTGATGCCGTCCGCCGCCGCGCCGTCCCTTCCCCTTGTTGACATTCCAGTCTCCAGGCGGAGGAGGAGAAGGCTCGGTTTCGGCCAACTCGTCAGCAGCACCCCAGTTCGGAGTGTGAGGCGAATTTGGATTCACGTATCCGCCGGGATCGTCCTGCGGATACTGTGGCCACCCCTGCGGCGTTGCGCCAGGCCACATTTGCGGCATCATGCCAGCCATGGGCTGCTGCATGAAGCCTCCCATCGGGAATGCGGGATACATCGGACTCGGGAAAAGGGGCAGCTTGCGCGCCCTTGTATCCCGAGCCACGTGCGTCGGGTTGATATCCGCCGGTTGGCGTCCTCGATCGGGCGGTTCCGCCACGACCGTATTGCCCGTGCTGATGTCCGTATTGGCCACCCTTACCTTTGTGTTGGTCACCTTTGTGACCCTTGTATTGGTCACCCTTGTGACCCTTACTTGCATATGGGTCCCCTTTGTGACCCTCGCCTTTGGGCCAGGGGTTCGCAGGGGCATTGCCCTTCCGAGGATCCCCCTTGCCCTTCTGATCCGGTCGCATCCTAGGCGTCGCAGCCCGCCTGTGGCGCTTACCAGATGGCGGATCTGCAAAAACGATGATGCTTTGGCCGTCACGCTGTACAGCGGGAACCATGTCGACCTTGCTTTGATCGGTATATATGTATGCCTCAGCATACTCGATTGGGGCCGTGATCGACCCACCACCGGTCTCAGGGACTCTATGCTCAGCCTGAGAGTCTCGATGATGTCAAAATCAGGATCTTCGTTAGTGAAATCCGCGAGGCGTCGCTCGGCTTGGACCACTGACATGATCACGTCCTCACGAGAGGCGCTTAGGCCATAGAGTGGAGCGAGATACCCATCCTCGACTGCGAGGCGGTACGCGTCGTACATACAGACAGAAAGGTAAAAGGCAAAAGCTGAATTTAGACTGCCCTTCCTCGTCATGAGGCGGCCCCACTGCACCGCGTGTTGCGGGTTGTTGATATGCGATCACTGTCAGGCCCTCAGGAATTGGGATTCCAGTCTCACTTTCCTCGATGAGCAGTTGCTTTGCTACCCATCGCTCAAGTGCTTCGTCACTCGCTCTCACACACGAGTGAGTGTCCATCGAGGTGACGTTCTCAACCTCCCGAAATGCAACCTGTACAGTATCCGCATTGGGATTGTGTACGAGGTATGGCGCACAGCGCAGACCGGAGATCATGCAGCTGACCACCTCACGGATCGGGTTTACCGATGCCATTAGAGGAGCCCAGACACTCGTCCCCATGGTACCAGCTGTTGGGCATGCTTTGAGTCCACCTGCACAACACGGACACTGCCCAGTGGGAACTGACCACCTTCACTGGTGAGCCCGAGAAGGGCAGGCGGGGGCATGGACACACCCCCGATGCGCACGTGGAGGCTGGCCTCGCAGTCGAGGACGTGTTTCCACACAATGGCCGCCGCGGTGCACGAGTAGGCGCCAGCCGAAAAGCCCCTGAGCAGGGCCCCTCTCGCAGAGAACAAGCTAGCAATCATAGTGCTGCCTATCAGGAACGAGCTGGCAGGCTGGTACATGCTACACGCAAAATACTTCACATCGTTCGCGCTAGCACGTTGAGAAGCGATGGCATCCGCGACCTTCCAAGTAGAGTTGTCACTATACATGCGCGGCCAAGCGTTGCGGCAGAATGCGAGGGTAAGCACTACCCGGTTGGCACTCAGGCATTGCAGGCGGTCGCACTGAAAGCCTGCCTCCTCACACCAGTCAACGGGCAAGGACGTAGGCCCATACACTCTGCCATTAGGCCCGCTGCAGAGAAAGGCAACGTCGGCTTCCGCTGACGGGGACACTTGACCTGCCCCGCCAAATTCAACCGTCAGCCGAACAGCAGGAACCCTGTCCCAATGGACTGGTTGGCAGTGCTGGATGCTAGGCATGCGCAAACCCTGCAGGGCAGCCGGGGGGGAAGCAGCCGCCTCGTCCATCAAGCGCCGACGCCAGGCACCAAGTGTGTGAGATGACTGGGTCACAGCACATCAGCTCATCAGGCAGCGGAAAGTGTTCGCACTGCAGGCCCGGGATGCCGCCGCCCATGGGCACACGAAAGCAAGAGTGGGGCCCAGTCGGCAGAGACCGACGTAGGAATGGGACCAGACCGAAACCATGCACAATGAACCACCACAGCCCAAGGTCGGGCGCGTCACGATGATGCGGAGCCGCAACCAGTAGAGGCGGCATGCCTCTAGCAGAAAACGACGCCGTATGCTCACACACCAAGGCACCCCAGCCCAGGAGAGACAGAACACGAGTGGGAGCGAGCACCTCAATGGCCTGGAGCACAATATCAGCGTGCCCAGCATGGCCGACCGCTGTGCGGACATGCTCAAGCTGTTGCGCTCCCGTACCAACTTCAAAGCACGAGGCAATGGCGGCTGTAGCCAGCAGTCCACCCAGACATGCCACATCGTGAGATGACACAGGGACGCTACCCGCGAAAGGGAACTGCGCATCACGCCGGGCAAGCAGACGGGTCCGTCCCTCCTGTTGCCGCCGCGTAGCATGGGCAAGAGAAACCCTCCAGCCCTCGGCGACATCAGGATCTCCTATGCTGACAACAGCAGCTGGCCGATAGGGCTGGGGCGCTTCACCCGTAAACAAGAGCAGACACGGTTGCGTGTCCAAGGCGGCGGGCGAGCCCAAGGTCTGGGAAGTGCTTGCCACATGCCACAGATCTGCAAGGCAAGGAAAAAGGCCAGGCATGACATGCTCGGCGACCGCCATGAGGTGCGAACAGGACGGGCGCACTCCAACACAATGGGCAGGATCTGCTCAAGGGTAGGCGAGGCCCCCTGGTAAACCACACACAGGGGCACAAACAAGACAAGCGGCGGCGGCAAGCCTCCCGGGCGTACATGACTGGCAGCAATCCATCGATGGATCACGGCACGGTGGTCAAAGGTTCGCCCAACAACCAGCAGAACTTCGGCGCCCTGTGTGATGGTGGCCGGAAGCGCGGATTGCAAGAATTGGAAAAGTTCCTGATTTCACCCGGGACGTGGGCTTGTGCCTGTTCCAATGCACGATCCAAGGCTGCAGAGGACACTGGCTTGGGGATATATGCATTGTCATAAAGTGTGACAGAAGCACCCTCCAGGTCAATGCCATGGAAAGTACCCGAGGCGGCAGGGGGATTTAAGGGCACAGGGGGTACATGGATGGGGGGCCGGCACCCTAAGCAACTGGGCTGCAGGGACCAACCTTACGCTACCCGCCTGCGCAGTGGGCTGCAATGGATCACTTGGACTGGGCGGGGCCCGTACCGTGGATCCACTGGCAGTGTCGCAAGGCACACTTGGCGAACTGGCACTATCCACCTGCATTGTGGGATTGGGGCCAAAACCGTAGGCATCACGTCAGGAGCAAGCGGCCTGGCCTGGTCGCCAAGGCCGAGGTCATCCAACTCGTCGGGCGCCATTT